AAGTCCGCAACCTCTTCAGAGGGCACGTTGGTACTGGAATGGTTGAGGCACAGGAAAATACTCTAATAGTCGAGTAAATGAACTCAGGCAGGGATAGCCGAGTGGTTAAGAGGTTAGACTCATGTCTGCACCTCTGAAAACCGCGAGTTCGATCCCTGCCGAGGCTCTAAACCATGCCTTGCAAAAATTGCAAAAATGGTTCTAGTACCAGCGTCAGGCCCAGGTTGACAGGCCGGCTGATGAACACCCCAGTCACACAAAACATGTCTAAAGTCGAAAAAGGTATCGGTGATTTTTTTCAGCGGACCCTGCGACTGCGCGGAACTAACGCTAGGGAGAAGAAGAAGAAGAGTCGAGTAAATGAACTCATATCAAAGGAGAGGTGCAAGCTCCAACAAAAGGAGAAGGTCAGCAGTCGCGCATAGAAGCTGAGATTGATTCCTTGTTTTCAGAACATTTGGATTTTGCGTTGGCACCCACAAAATGCACCCTTACGTTGCATTTGACCATATACAATGGAATCAGATAGAAATTTATTCAATAAATTATTCAACTGTGTTGATTTATCCGCGGTGACGCAGACGACGGCTCTTTCTGGCAGCCCGACGTTGGTTCTTGCGGTGACGGCGGGCGTGTGCGCGGCGTTTGTTGGCAGCACGGCGCTGGTTGCGGCGGAGACGGCGGTAGAAACGCTGAAATGTGACAGTTGTCCATTATGGTCTACAGCTGGAGTCATTTTGAACTCACTCTTCTGGCGGCACGTGCGCGACCGGCACGTCGTCCACGTCGTCGGAAAGCTGCGCGGCGTTTCACACGGGTTGGTTCCTCAATTTTCTGAAAAATCGAAGATTGAAGGAGAAGATCGCTTCTCAAGTTCAGGGCGCCGCCTACCTCAAGCTTGTCGGCTTCGTCTTCTTCCTTGTCAAGAATTGTGGAGATCTGGAAAGGCGTTTTTAGAATGGCTGGAGTGAACCCTTCACTAATTTTAGACAACGCACGTACCAAATTCTTCTCGTCTTCATCTTCAACCGGTTGCGAGGGCGTCGTCTTCTTGCTGTTTGAGCGCTTGAAGTTTGTTCAAGACAGCCAGGCCTTGCTCAGAGAGTTCCTTCTGAAGAGCATAAGCATCATGATTGGGTGGAAATTTTCAAAAACTGATCAATTACCTTCTCCTCCTCGGCGAATGCAATTGCAGAGACTGCTAAGAGTCCAATGGCCAAAAATATAGCTCTCATCTGAAAAATTGGGTTTAATTGTTCACCATTACTTTTTGATGTAGAAAGGATTAGGAAGAAGAAGCTTACTGTGGAAGCTGAGATGCTTGCCGTTGTTCTTTGGGCCCTGTTCAATGCTTTTATAACACTACAAATAGGCGTGATAATCGCGTAATGGCTTCCCGTCTACGCTGCTGTCTGGCAGCGGAAAAACTCGTCCTACACTTGGTCTTGCGGTGATCGCATCGAGCGCTGCAAACAATGGGTTGCATTGGGTAATCCGTACATGATTCTTATCGTCGCACCGTCGTCCACACTACTTCTTCTTAGAGTAATTATTCTCAAGTAGCAGCTCAACTCAGTAGGCCGCAGAAATAGTGCCCAAGAATAAGTAAAGGAAGATGACCTCTGGGAGAAAATGCTCGCATGCTCTGCTTCAAGGACTCGAAAAGTTTATCAGCGAGATAGAAGCGATGAAAAAGTGGAGTAGAGCGCTACCCCAATATGCGGGGCATGCGGGGCATCCTCCAGGACTAAGCCGCAGGTGGCAGGAGCACCAGAGAAAATGAGAAAGGCTCACACATTTTGAGGTCTCTTTCTCACCTCTTTTTATAAAAAAGGCATGTTTCACGCGGTTCTTGAACGAACTGCCATTACAGTGCTCCCTTTCATAAGTTGTGATAGCGTCACGATGGCTTCAAGCTCATCCCAGTAGGGGACCGATGTGGGCGCAAACAATTCGTACCAATCGCTGGGGGTGATTAAGATTTTTTTAGCCGGGAAGGAACCAGTCCGTGGTGTTACAACAGAAGCAAAGGTGGTTTAACGCCCTTGGGGAGTTCTTCATCTTCAAAACTCAGAATTTCTCTAGGCGGAGTTGCACTACATGCTCAATGGGTGAGACCACTATTTCATTTTGAAAGTGCAACGAACACCCTGCCAAGAAGAAAACGCGTTGTTCAAGAAGATGAAATACTACTGAATGAAGGGCAATCTCGAAATAAGTATTCGCGAGCAACTCTTTCAAGTAGATGCACTCCCACTAGCAGGTGCTGGTCAGAAGGCCCGTCCCGCAGCGTCGAATTCAGTAGTACGTTCTCATCATTTGCTGTGGAAGGTACTGCTTAAGGTCATTTTCCCACCCACCAACGTTCAAGTACTGGGAAACGGCCACATGGAGAAATTCAAAATGCTTTTCTTACTTTTTTCTCCTTCCATCAACAAATCTCATTAAAATTAGATTTGAACGTGCACGGGAAAGATTTTCAGAACTGAAAACAGAAAACGCGCATCTACCAAATTCCGGAATTTTAAATTCATGCCGCTGAATTAACGGCACATGGAATGAACTGCTACAAACTTACCCGTTTGACGCGGAAGTGCTGGGGTAGAAAAGGCAACCTGCACAAAAGCCTTGGCATCCTTACTCGTTCGAAACGCTGTGTGCCTGCTGAGCGAGAATCGTACTTGGAAAAGTCTCATCTTGGCCACTTCAGAAGGGAGAAGCTCATCTCTCGGCCGCTTTAACAGTGGAGATCGAACAGCCAAGCTTACGTGAACATAAAACTTTGGTATAAAAACTTTTATACTTACGCACCATTAACACTATTGTATTTTTCAGATTGGAAGGCTTGTGTGGCAGTTTACTCGAATATTACACCACAATGTCAAGTACAAGGCTCTTGCAAGGGCACCTATCCGTTTGTCGTGCAGTCTGTCCGTCTGTCTGGCCTTGCTGAGTGTTACGAAAATCAGCATCTCATGAGGATTCACCTCAAAGAACCTGTCAAGTTTGGAGTGGATGCGGCGAAATAGAGCATCACACAAGATGCTTGGTGCACACCTACCGTATGGAACCTTCTCACAGTGGCCGAGAAGTACGTACTGAAATGAGAAAAGAAGAGAAACTTGTTGAGAAACTGCAAACCGAAACCAGTTTGAGGAAAGCTACATATGCCTCGGAATGCTTTGCTGAGAGAGAGGTAAAAAGTTCTAACGAGAGAACTTCAAGAAATAACGACTCAAAACAGTAAGCACCATTCCAAGAAACGCACGTGTAGCCTTCCGGACAGACCTACGAGTTCCAACTGAAGACAGCAGTTGTCTCAAGCAACGGTTTTAGTTTCTCGTTCGTGTCTTTCAAGAAAGCCTTCACCGCCAGAGACCTGCTCTACACACGTTTGGTTTCTTCTTCAACATGATGCACTTGGTGACTAAAATTCTGAAGCAAATAGTTTGTCTAATGACCTGGAGCAAGAGAGAAATCTAGAAAATCGATGTAGTAGATCGGCGTCGCCGAGGATCGAAAGCAGACCAGTGATCCGGCAGATTCATGAATAATCCGTTTTTCAAAGGCAAATGCGCAGAAGTTGGTTGCCGATAGAAATGAAAACAAGAAGTAGGCTACAGATCGTTTTGGATGATCAAGGACCCTCGTTGCTTCGCTGGACTCCTCTCGTGCCTGACTTAAACAAATAGACATACCTTGGACGTATGAAAATTCGTGAGAATCCATACCGCAACTTTTTGGCGGGGAGGTCGGTAGCTCCTAGAGTCTCAGCCCATTCATAATCGGACTTAACTATCAAGGACTCATCACTTAATACATTTACTACACGTTTTGGCTACAGTTAGGTATGGTAGCTTCGAAAAGGCAGTCTCTTCGATGCAATCATCTTGTTTGTATCCAAAAGTCGCAGCGGCTTTTCGGTCCGTTCATGCTGCCTTCTCCTGTCTCTCAACAAGCAGTTCTACGACAGACATAATGGGATTATAGAAGTTATCAGGGATGCATAAAGGCTCGTGATAGCTGATTTGTCTCTTGGACTCTATGGCAGTGTCGCCCTTTCGGAATCAATTTTTCATTCTTGTGAATGCATCTGGCCTTGTTAGATCTGGAGCCAAGCCACCTTCTGTTATAAGCATACTCGATTTGTAGCGGCTAATGTTAACTCCTTGTCAACTCAAACTAACGGATTCCTTTTCGTAACAGGCCGTCCATGGAAGTAAACCGCACAATCCGAAATGACCTTGAGAAAAAATACAAGAATCTACCCAATTGATTGGCTCCTAAAGCTCTTTTCAAACCTGATTCTGTCGAAACTCTCCTAACTCGTTGCCCATGAGCGAGATAGATCCAAGGACAACCCGTCGAAGAAAACTTTTGGTCTCCAGTATTGTCTCCAATCCCACTAACGAACTTTCAAAATTGTTCGGCAATTTTGGCTTTCCCGCTATTCCGATGGAATAGCTTGGATAGTTTCCGGTGCACTTCCCTCCACCTTACCCCTTTTGAGAGATCATCCTCTCGTGCAATCAGGTACCATCTGTGTGTGGAACAGTCTGAGATCGAGGTCTTTACATAGGCGGATAGAGGTAAATGAAAGCATGAAGCAACCCATTGTTGACTGATTCCTTTTGGGATGCACCACGCCATTGTACTTCCTATCAAACTGCGGAGGCCCTGACAGCGGTTTGGCGTGTACTGTAAGGACCATGCAATCCACTGACCAATGACCATGTTTATCCTCCTAGACAAGTTTGTTATCAATTATGTGACCTCTGAGTGATGAGAGAAGTTCTGATTGGCATTTGTGGAACTTGACTTGAAAGCAGGGATCGCGATAGTTGGAGGACGGCGTGATTTTGATGTCCGTCGTTGAACGTCACTGGTGGAAGGCCATCAAGAAGTAGGCCGAACCTCATCCCAGCGCGGAGTTAGAAGTTTAGTCCAACAATGGCTTTCAATGACGTCATCAAAAGCGCACCACCATCCACCCATCGTGATCAATGCCTTGAAGGGGCCTGATATAGACACGTGCACACCTTATACTCACAACTTTGTAACAGTAGTGGTTTTTTAGCAGTTTCAGATCTCATACCCTCAACTCAACGTATCGAAAAACTCTCCGAACCTCATACGCGACAATTTAGGGAACGAGTGAAAGCAAGGAAATGCTGGGTGCTGCTTTTCACTTGCACCGTTATCATACTTATTTGCTTTTTGGTTAGAATTAGCGACTGCGTGTTTGCGTGTCTGCTTTTCTAATTGATTTCCTGTTTAAAAGGAACGGGCAGCGGTTCGTCGTATTTCGGCGGTTTCGTATAATACCTGCTTTCTGTCTGATCCACCCTGCAGCGGCCAGAGGCCATCGACCAGTGCACTCGCGCAACTTGATTCCTTCTCAGATAAAAACAGGCTAGATTTCACCGGTGCACAGATTTTACAAAAGAAATCCGCAGGCCTTTGGAAATCATTGGAAACAATCATGGAGAGCTCCTGTATATTCTTCCGAGAATTTTCAGAGTTACAGTAGAAGAAAGTTCCGAAGAGTCGCCAAAAATTGTACAGCTCATGAACCAGGACCATTTTCCAAAACGATCGAGACGTTATAAAGGCAAGAGCACATTACGCAAAAATTAGTTCATTTTTAGAGCCTTTCTGAGAAGGCAAAAATTAGTTGGATTTTTCTCTGAGAATCAGTTTCTCTGAAACTTCACAGTCTACTGTAAAGCATTTGTAACATTAAGAAGTCGGATAAAAGTCGTATACGCGGGAGACGGGTTATGAGTTACGAAAATGCAAAATTCTCTCACCAAAGTAATTTGAGGGCTTGAGCTTTTCCTGTCTTTTATGGTTTGTCTAGAGCTGCTAAGGAAGAAGCTACTTCCTATCTGTGCTTCAGGAACTCAGAACAATTCCTCTAGGATACAGAAAAACGACTTTATGAAAGCACTCCTCGTACGGAATGACCTTCCTGTTCCACCTGGCTGTTGATGTAATAGCACGGAGATTGTTCTGATCTTGTCCGAGCATTTGTGTATAGAAGTCAATAATATATGATGTTATGGTTGCTGGTACCCAGATGTTCTAAAAGGAAAAAGGGACGTCTCAAGAAGCATGCTGTAGCGAGACGTCCTCAAAGAAGAATAAGCCGATTCGAGGACTATGGCCACAGCTGGGTGCCCGACAGGAGACCCGTCGCGCGGCAAGAGGGCAGAGTCAGCGGACGAGGTCGCAGTGCGTGCTGTGCGATGTAGGACGTTTACTGGTACATTAACTATAATCAGTTACAGGTACGCGCTGTGCACATCTATTGCTGCAGCGAGGTCTTTCCTGTCGGCGTACAGGCCACAGCTTATCCCTCTAGGCGCCATTTAAACGTCGTGTAAGGTTTAGCTAGCTAGCTGGTTGAGGCTTCGAGAGGGAGAGGAAAATTTATTTACTTTGTAATCACATTCGTTATTCTTATTGAAACTACAGTAGTTCGTAAGTTCATTTAGTCCGTCTCGTGACGATTACAAACAATTGATTGGTAAAGTAAGCGAGTGCGATAAGTTATCGGGAACACAGCCCGAACTATTTCGAGAGATTAACTTCACTCGTTCACACAAAATTCGGCCTCAATAGAGCCCTAAACAACTAGCTAAGAGGGAAGAAGCGCCATTTTTAGCCGATCGTTATTGTAGCTGTGGATGGAGTCTGCGGTGTTCCGTAAGCTATCGCGCGACCTTGAGCTTCGAAACAAATTCTGGCTATATACCATACGTTCGAAATTGTGCGTGCCAGACGAACTACAATGCTGGCAGGAAACATGGCTTATTAAGAGAACCAATATTGCGGGGAAATCGGTGAATTCACCTAGAATGGACTTCAATATGGATGGAAGGCTTTACTGATCTAAACGTGGTAGGCCCAGCCCTCGATCGTTCTTCAGGCACCGGTCAGGATAGCAGATACTATTAGTGCACCGAAGGTGGCAATTAAAATGAACATCCAGGACTTGTACGCTGGTTTATATGAAGTCAGAAACTTGAGCTTTCCAGTTATGAAGGTTAGGTTTCCGAGCTTTTCGTCTTCCAAGTTGTGAAAGAAGTGCGATAGTTGCAAACTCAGCTAGCATTTCCAATTTGCTATATATATATATATATCGAGTGCGTCGCAAAAATTATGAGGACCGCGTGGTATGCGCGCAGTCATATCCACTTTTTTCCGTATCGCTCCATTTTCATCTCGTTTTCTGTGCACTATGTGAGAAGGTACATTGTCTTCTTCCTAATGAAACCAAGTTTCATGAAGTTCTCAAAACTAGTGAAATAACTACTTCACTTTGAGTCAGTCCTCAAATTGAACTCACTAGGGGCTCTGGCACGTTACATCTAGCAGCAGTCTAACCTATCAGAGAAGCCCTTATGAGCAACAGTTCAACTCTTCAATAAGTTTGGAACCACCACAGATGGAAAATTCGGGGACTCGAAAGTTACAGTTACCACCAGGATAATTATCAGATGCAGAAACTAGGTCTCCCCTTGTCGACTTTCGTACACCCAAAATGAAAAAATTGATGTGAAAACCCAGCCAGACACTCTAAAGACTCCACATCTGTAGTGGATAGAAAGCCACACGAGTAGTCTACTTGGGACTTCTTACAGGACCGAGCACCCAAGAATAAAGCAAAAATTCTCTAAAAAGCGATTTTTCGAGTTCGTTGCTTTCGAAGAATTGTTACAATGGAACCTCCATCCTGATAGCTCTAGATTTCTGTATTTCACACCCAAATAAATGCCCACAAAGCTTTGATTCCCTGAAGAAGGCAGAGCAGAAGGCCTGGAAACATTTGGACACGCCTCAGTTGCGTGCCAGCGCACGCGCCATCCCCTTCATCTGAAGGCTCGTGTTAACGGGGCAGGTGGCAGATCTCAATTCTATTCTGGAATTACTTTGAGGTAAGAGTTACAAATACTTCCCTGAAGTTGGTTTGTTCCATCAAGCTACTATGCGTTTTTAAAGACACAATGTCTTGGTCCTCATAATTTTGGACCACCCTGTACATCAATAGACGAAGAAGGATTGGGTTTGGGAGTTTTGGGAAAAGAAGGGTTAAGTAATAAGTAAATACCAAGAGCGGGAAAAGGGAGTGATATCAGTTGTGAGTAAAAAAGGGTGTATTGCCAGGATTTACCAATGCCCACACTTATGTGGAAGCATTATTCACTCGAATTTTTATACATTTTTGCATTAATAAGCAATAGCAAGTCAAAATTAATAGCGGCCGAAAACCTTTTCTCAAGAAAGTATGTAGTAGCGAAATAGTGTCTCAAACACTACACTGTTTCGATGAAACTTCTTCCTTTATTCAGTCGGTTTCTTAGTTGCTCGCCGTTCCTACAGTACGCGCTTGTACTGTAGCTGTGCTGTAAACACAACTGCAATTAGGACCATAGTGACATTTTGAACTTCTGTACTCCATTGAGCCTACCAGTTATTATTGTCAGAATAGATGTAAATCCAGGAACTGAAATCCCTTTGTGGAGAAGGCTGTCTTGCTTTCTCGATGACGACGCTTCATTTGCGCTGTTTTTCAAGATTAAAATTCAAAACTCAGGCCAATGAAGTGTCCTTGAATTTTGCGCTTCTGAAGGCTCATCTCAACAAAATTGGACTTCAATAAAATGTCCAAGTCTGTATAGCCTTTTACTGGAACGGGTTCTTCCCAATTGAAGCGCCCGCCGCTATGCATGTTGCATAGTGAATTGTTCTAACAATGCAATTTCTTGATTTCGCGATCACCTGCCGGCGCCGTCAAGGGTTTCCAGCGACGGGCCGCGCCGACGGATGGCTTTAGGGTCCGGTAAGCGCAGCGGATCTATCGAGTTTATCGCATCTCATCGCTCGTATATAAAAGGGTATACCCACTTAACCAACAACTCACCTTCAGTCCCGACTTCCACTGATCGCATTTTGGGCTTTCGGCTAGCTCAGCTACTTTTTTTCTGAATTCCTGGGCACTTTCTGACTGTGATCCATTATGTCCAGAGCCTTGTTTGAATCGACGTCGGGCTTATTTTGTCCTGAAATTACTACTCGAAAATCTTTTCTGCAACAAGCTTCACATTAGGCTTTTTGTCACAGCTGCTAGGGACTCTTTGATTCGTGATGTCTGGATTGCCCTCATCTCCTCACGGTCAGTTTTCTGTCTCTCTCACTCCAGACCTTCTTCTACTAATTCACTTACATAAGACTTGTAAATCTTCCAATCCTTCGATGAATGTCGTTTCTTACACGCTTTCCTTTTTGCCGCCATTTTTTGTGTGATACTGAATTTTCAATGTCAAAAATTCAGATGAAATATCTGTGCCTAGCCCTCGGGCTATTTGCTCTCTCCGCGCTCTCCTTTGCTGAAGAGGAGGTAGGTAACATTTGGATGAGCTCATTTTTGTTTGGCTCCCAAGAAAAAAAGGCCATCGAATATTTTCTAGGAGTTCTGACTGTCCCTTTTCAGATCTCCGAAACTGGTCAGGCCGTACTGACGAAGATCAGAGCTCTGAAAGAGGAGGAGAAGCAGCTTTTGGCTTCCATCACCGATGAGGAGCAGAGAGATCTGGTGAGTAGGCTTTATGCCAAAAACTTCGTTCACAAAGAAGAAACTCCAAAAAAGTCGGTTTTCTCTTAGGTCGAGTCCATTGTTGACAAGGAAGAGGAGGAAGAGGACAAGAAGGC